TTACTATGATACAGCTGATTCCGATCTCTATTTTCTGGATCAACATGCCAAAAGAACTGGTAAATATATGCAGAATTGCTACGTATGGAACACGTAAAGTTGACCCTACTACCTTCATACGACGTGACATCAGCTGGCTCAATGATAAATTTGTTAGAATACTGTTGACATGGATGAAAGGCAAAACTTTGCGTTAAAAACACGAAAATACACAGTGATTTTATGAAAGAAGTCATAATGACGGCGGAAGTTTACAGTGACTGAAAATTTGAACTCCAATGCAGAGTATTCATAAAGTGGATATCAATTGAGGCCTTTCCTTCTGTTCGTTTTCTAGGAATGAGAGGTAATGTAGGTAGTTTTCACCTTAGCTTAGCCACGACGGCGTAACATATTGGATATTGAATGACAAAGAAACGTAGCTGAGCATGCGTTGAAGAGAGTACTAGTAATCAATTGGTGACGAGTTGCTTTACGTTTCGGTTTCATTTGACAGTGATTCCCGTTTCAAATAAAATGTGATTGATTGATACAACCTTAGATTTTCCGTGACTGTAAGAGAAATTAACCCATTGACTAGGACTACTGGATTATTACCAGTTTTACCACCTTGTTACCATATAGCACCAGCCGATTGCGTTCCTGACTCTCTTGGGATTCTAGCGACCGTTGGTTCATGAATCTCAAATACGGATGTATGTTATATTCCTGGTCACTTAACGGTCAGAGGCAGCATTTTGTCGGCATGGTGATGGTAAAAATAGGGACTTTCAAAGTAAGGACTTTGATGAGAAAGTAAGCCTTAACCCGCAAAAGCCCAGATATATAGGGTCGAACTACGAAGGTCCTTGGAAGATCACATAAACTATGTTATGAAAGAAATAATTCGAATTTTAATATTGAGAATTTATTAACGAGAGTTGCCGATGCTCTGGTATTAGAACACAATTTCTCACCTATATTCTGTAAAGTGTAATACATGCCTTCACCATGGAACTAGCGAGGTGCGGTATGTCATTGGTAATAATCAAACACTGAATACAAAGAGATACCAGCATGTTCTAAGGTCTGTAAAATCTAAGATAATTTTATTCTGTATCTTGTACAGTGATACCAATGTCATTAGAATGATAGTAGAACTGAGAATTCAAAAAGTGCCACACCACCTATTTAAATTCTTAGGGCGCTAGAAAATACATGGTAAATATAGAAATTTAACATAATTAATTGAATAAACGAGTAATAACGCTGTCAAAACTCTCAGATGTAGAGAGGTATTTTAACATACAGGACGTATTGTTCTACTTCCCTTTCTTTTGTTGACAAAACATGACAACAAAGACGTAAATTCATTCATAACTGATTATTTTAAGAGGAATGACATGTCTTACACATGGGAATCAAACGCGCTATATTACATTCAAGTACATTCTTGCTCGAATTTTACTTCGTTTGGTTTACTAATGAACGTTTCGTTTCAAAACGCTCTGAATTCCCATTTTCATGAGATATTTGTTATCCATAATAATAAACAGCGGGCCTAACGATACGTATCCATGTTTTGTTTATTTTCATTTTTATGTCGTTGGAGTAAAATAGAAAGACGACCAAAATAAAATCTTCATATTGCATTTCTTGACTAGGATAGAGGATATTCTACTTAAGTTTATGTTTTCTTTTCATGGAAACAGAAAAACAAAAATTGAGATAACAAAATGATAATTAAACAAATATAAATCTAAAGAAAAGTAAAAAATATGTCTAGCAATGCTGGAAACCTACACAATTAACATAATAGATTTTGTTCTAAAAATTATTAAAAAGGTAACTAATAGGCCCACGAAATTTCAGCAAATACATAAGTTTTCGTTTTTGAGATAGTTCAAACCCAATTGCCAATCGTCAGAGTCCATACCAATAACAGAAGTTGAATTATTGTTTTTTATAACTATAGTTCGAATGGTCCAATGCAAATAGCCCCAGCGCTATATATAAGTGAAATCATAGCGGACAAGGCATATACCGTATGAGTCAAAATGAAAAGTTTACGCTCAGAACATTGCCATTTATTTTTAAAAAGTCAGCTATGAACGAAGGGTTACCATTTTGTATAGTATGTGTTCACGATTGGATGAACAGGAGGCATTGTTTGCGAGATTGCAGAAATCGACTTGCGCAAAAGTATTAAAGTGAGAGAATTAATTGAGTGTATCAAAATGAGATGCATTGCATATGCTGTTTGCAGAAGCAAAGTCTCACACACACACACACGCGCGCACGAATGTTCTTTGATATTTGATATGTGTGGCATGATTAATTTTTTATGTTATTTGGATCTGCAAAGACAGAATTAATACCCAACTCCCAATTGTTCTATTCAAACATCACATAAGCATTACTGGCGCAAGTCGATTTTTGCACTCTCTTAAAGGGATCCGGTAACTTTGTCTCAGACTCTGAAACAAAATTCTGGATTTAGCTCATGCTGCAATGATAATTATAAACCTTTAGGTCAGTCAGAAACCCCATGACTTTACAACCCCATCGCCTGTCTGATTATCGAGATATTTATGATTGGAATTTAAAAAATTGAAAACCGTTTGCCAAACGGTTTTCATAACGCTACAGTCTATTGGGGAAAACGAGTATGGTAAAACCGGTCACTCATAGATTTTTAAAAACTTATTTGAGGCACTCCTTGATCATTTTGAAGCGCAATTCTTGTTGGGCTTCAATATTACTCCATATCACAGACACTGAAAACACGTAGGGCCGTGTATCTCAGATTTAACATTGTTAAACGATCCCTTTAAAGTAGATATTCATTGATTTAAAAAACTAACTTTATTTTCATTATTGCAAAGTTGAAACTTTGATTCGACAAGGTTATCAAAATTTAATGATTGGAAACATTCTAAGTAATGATTATTATAAATTACAAAACGCTTAAATACAGCCCCGGCATAGAACCTGGAAGAGCTCTCCGCTGCTGAGATGTGTGAGATCACAGTATGGACATCATTTGCACAAGCAGACGATATCACATGACATCTCACACATTTTCAGTGCCTGTGTTTTCATCTTCTCTTGAGTTTTTTCTCTTACTTCACTACCGTCAGGCTAAATGTATAATCTATTGCCTTACTCTAAAACCCGCGCATGGTTTTATTTTGATGAAAAATGCAGCGATACTAATATTAAGGAATCTGTCGCTTGTAAACAAAATAAGACGCCATTGTATATTCAGCTGCACACACCGCGGTATGTTCGGCGTTTCAAGAGGGAACAAATGCCATCCTTAATATCATTCCGGGGGTTTTTCAATTTGAAAGTCTGTTTTTTTTTTATTGTTAATTAGCCCCTATCCTGTGTATTTACAAGCAAAATATTTTAGTTATCAGAATCGGGTCATATCCCCTTTTGAATGGTTTGACATGCCATTAAATTTATATACACGAAACTCATTATAATTTGAGAAATAATAGCTTTGCAATTATGTTCATTCTCTATGGGAAGTCGTCGGCTTAGGCAGTATTGGTCCATATAGTGACGTCATTAAAACATCGTTATTTTTCCGGCGAATCTCTCATATATTCCAGCTGCTATGGAGGTGGTTGTATTTTTTTAAAAATATCACCCGATATGTAGTTGACCTCAAACTTGTACGATGGCCTCCTGTTAGCTTACCAGTTTCTAGTGATACATGTGTTGACATATTTGTGATTTTCTTCGAATTTCACCTTTAAGCAATGTCTCCTGTTTATCCAAGCGTGAACACATACCCCACACAAATGATATCAAATGATTTTGGATACAACACTCTTTCATAAGATGTATAATAATTTACTGTTCATAGATGATTTTTTAAATAATTAACATTTTTCTAGGTATAAACTTTGTGTTGACTCAAACTGCACATGTATAATGTATAACACATCCAAAAAGGAATATTACCAAATCACAGAATAGGGCGATATTGATATGTTTATCATAGTACTCGTTAAACTATTTTACTATAAATTAAAGCTCATTTCCAGGTTAGGTAGCAAGAGGGAATCGAAGAAACGAATAGCATTGTGTTAAAGCTCAAATAAACCTCCAAATCAACTCTGTATGTGCCATAAGAACAACGGATTTGCATATCCGGGAGAAAATGTCATTGCATGACCATGGCGAAGTTTGTTTACCCATTTCATTTATGGATTGATTTTAACACGTGCAATATGAAACACCCAAATCAGCACAAATTTTGATTTTTATAAAAACTCACATGAATAAAAAAATATATACAAAACTCATAAATAAACGAAATATAAAAGAAAAACAAATCAGAAAAACAAAACGAAGTATTAAATAAAGAGAAGAATATAAAATATACACAATTAACCCTACACACACCAATGATTTAAATCGACGAGGGGTATGTAAAGAATCAGGTGTCCTTTCCTAAATGAATAATATAATTGTCCAAATTGCGCTAGTAATAACGGTCAGGTCCTTTATAGATACTATGTCCTTTTGCAAGCCAACATCAAATTCTGTAGAACTTTGCAGGAATTATGAATAATGTCATGTATGTCCTATCTGTGAAATTTAAACGTTAGCAGTGTCCTGATATTCAAATTGTGCAAGGAAACCCATTTACTTCACTTCACTGTCAGACACTATTGAGTGACTGACTGGCTTTTTTCTTCTTTTGTAATAAAATACATAAAATGAGCTGTAAAGGGTACATGAGCATTTGTCTACATCAATAACCCACTTCTTGTAATGGCCAAAATTAAACTGATTGAATCTTTGCGCAGCATAAAACGTACGACCATTCGGTACATTGGTCTGAAAAATCAGATTATTACTTACTGGCTCTATAGCTCTTAAGTCGATTCGACAACTAATATTCATTATTTTTCCACTTACAGACATTTTCAAGCCTCCCTTTTTATTTGGAAGTTCTAAATTTGTATTATCTTTTAAATTCCGTTGGAATTTAACCTTTTCATTTTGTTGGCCTGCACATGGGACATAGTACCTTTAAATCTGGGTTTCATCATGGTCTTCGCTCGGGTTTAAGTTTTCATCACAAGGAACATTTCGGAAACCCTTTTTTCTCCGGGTCATATACATGTACACGATTACTATGACAGCCAAAATGACGACGATCAAAAAAAGGATGACAAACACTAAAACCCAAATGACCACAATGCTATAGTGTACGTGCTTTGTTTGTTTTAGTGTTATTGGATATAAAGTTGTTCCAGTTATATTACTGGCCATTATTGGGTTTCTGGATACAAGTATTGAATTTTGAGAAGAAGTGGTAGAGCATAGATCTGTTGGTCCTAAGATTCTACTGTTGTAGACAGGATCAATTACAGTGTCACTGCATTCACACATTTGTTTAGGTTGCCTGTATGTGGTACTACAGCAATATACAATATTTGAGTTCTTGATCAGTACTCTCTGCTTCAAAGACGTATTTGTTTCAATGGGCCTAGTTAAAGAAGGCATCCTGTCACCATTTTGATAGCAATCGATCTTTCCAGACATGCTTCCAACTTGGGCTACGCATTGCAGAGACACCCAACCCTCAGTTTGGTAGAAGCCGTCTAATGCACATGATGCTTTACCGGGGGGATAATCTACGTGGACCGAGATTTGCATATAATCCTGACTTTTCTCAATGTCTTCGTATACGAAACATGTGTATAACCCTGCATCATCTTTCTGCACATTAGAAATAGTCAATATGAGTGAACAACTGTTGTTTTCGTTAAAAATTTCAATCGAGAATCTATGTTCCTGATATGGGGGTAGCAAAAGACTTCCCCCATCTGTGGAATGATAAAACGGAGCTCTGTTCCCAACCTGTAAGAATACGTCATAAATGTCACAAGAATACGTATAAGTGAGATAAGCCTCCTCCCCCTGTAATAAATTCAAAAATTCAGGATCACATCTAGAATACGGTAGTGATGATATAAAACTTACTACATATATGAAATGACAAATTCTACAACTAAAAATATTTGTGAAATTGATCTGGCTTAGGAACTTAGGTTGTGGCATTTTCAAAATAAGCGACTTTGAAACAATGTAGAGCAATTTGTAATGACAACTGTAAGATAATTTAATTTAAAGAGGGTACAATGTCCACGCCGTGGTCAAAATAGGGAAGTTATCTTTATCGACGGGTATCATTCTACCCGTGAGAAAAACCTTAAGTACAAGCAGTGTTCAGAAAAAGTACCTCCGGTATACAATGTGTAAAGTAAAAAAAAAAAGAAGAGTACTACGGACGGCCCAAAGATCATTTTTGACGATCATAAAAGAGCACCGTTGCCTTTAAGGGGTAAAGCAAAAATGAAATCACTTATTTGATGAAAAGTTTATTCTCTTCTCAGTTTTTTTTAAAAAGGAACGTGTTATTCATCTTAATTTGATAGAAAAGATGGGTAACGAGTTTGCGTGACGCTGTTGTTCCGCAGATTTATTTGGCGTTCAATAACATACTATGCTTTTCAACTAGTATGTGATTTCAACTGCAATCGCGAATTTTACGATTACAGGTTAGTTATGAACCTCGCTCTTCATTGTCGAGTGCAAAGAAATACTGTCTTTAAATCAAACTCTTATAGCATGTCTCTGCTCTAATTATGGTTTAATAGACCTTTGCCGCTAGATCTTTTCCAATTCCAGACCACCAGCAAAGAGTTTTTGTAAACGTGTAGAATGCTCGTCATTGTTTGTTGCCCATGAACTCTTAGTCCTTTCAGTGGATTTTTATCGACGATTTTTTCCTCAGCTGTGAATGTCTAGAAAAAAAGTGAAAATACAATTAACTGATATAAAATAAAAACCTGAAATCAACCTATCTGGGTGTTGGCATAAGATGATGATGCAAAACTTAAACAAGAGAAGTCTGGTGCTTTGTATGACAGTTCTTTTATTGAGCTCATACATTTTCGGCGTTAATTATTACGTCTTTATCAAGTAATTATGAAAACATATTAAGAATAATGATCCATATGGCGTTTACATGGCAATGCGCTTATAGTTTATACGTAAGTTAGAATCGCTTTACGCTCAAATAAATTTCGTGGTGAAAAGTTTAAACACGTCACAGAGACTTCACAATTTAGTGATTACATACACAACAGTTCTTGAATATTATGGTAAGTATCTGCACAGTTTATCTATACAGTAGGTGTGAATGTGTGTGTTTGTGTAGGGGTATTTATAATTTATTTGTATTACTTATACATGCACGTAAATGTGAACTGAATTGATTATCTTTAGTAATGTTAAAACAGAATACATCATTTACCTGTTTTGTCATTTCTTCTCATAGAATATGGAGGATGTCAAGTTCTAAATTCGTCATGAAAGATCATGGTGTGTAGAGAGCTGCATAAAAAAGGCGAATAGCGAAGAAGAAAATACAAGAACTTACAAAAAAACTATCTAGATTGAGAAAGATAATTTTCTCCACACACCTTACAATTCTTGCATATACTTAATTATACCCACTATATTTTGAAACCGGTCTTATACTTTATTCCAAGGGAGCAATTTTTCGACATTGCTTTATCGCACAATTATTGAATAAAACTATAACATAAATATATTTCTGAAACGACAGACACATTTTAAAATTGGTACGGTTATTACGATATCTGGGAAAATATGAGTTTCGAAATATAACGTAAGGTACATGGGGAAAGCGACCCGAGTTATCACAAGAGATGACCATGCCTTGGCAGCTCCAATGATTTCGTCTTTTAGTTAAAATGTCTAAAATGTATGTATCAAAATAAGGGATAAATTTCCTTTTGGGGAAGTTCAATGTTGGCCCCTATGAGGCACGGGACTATGCATATAACCCCAAAGATAATGGACGCTTATTCAGTTGATTAAACCCTATCCTGGGTCTAAAATCAGGTTAAAATCTAAAAGACAACTTTGACCTCAGACTAAATTACTTTGTTAGACCCGATTAAAATAAAAGCATAATCACGGTGTCGGAATTAAACTTCACTAGGATACGGCGTACGTTTTCAAGAAATTAATTTCTATTTCAAGATAACAATTGTAATCACATTTATAAGATTATAGCTAAAATGAGTACTAGAATATTAAATTACCTTTATTGTGTGAGGATCATCTCATACAGAATGCAGCAGTGCTCTAAGTGTTCCCGAGTTCCTGATTCTATTAATTCCTAGCTATCCGTAATGCAAATCATTGCTGTTAGTGTAAAGGTGAAGAGACCGAATGGACTTTATTAGCACGTTAGTAGTATGTTTACTTTGCACGAACACAACTGAAGAGTAACAAACTAGACGTGTTTTTTCGGGCTTGCGGACTGACTGGTAAACGTCAAATGATTGGGAGATTTGTTTTCATGTTCATGGTTGAGATCATCAGATAACACATTGTAGCAGTAAACAAGAAACGAAACGAGTTAAAAACATGAAAAGATGAATCATTCAGTACATAATTTCCTGCTTGATAGCATAAAAGAATAAAGGATATTTACAATCTTTTTTTATAAACAGATAGGGGAAACAATAGTCGCATTACAGTTGTGTGGGAGTAGGTACGCGGGCCTTTGAAAGGTCTCAGGACCAGCTTCTTCTCTGATACTAAAGGCGATGCCGCACCCCCCCCCCCCATATGGAAACGTTGTATCATCCGCTCAATCTGACTTGCGTGCATAGAACAAATAAGCATTTTCCCATGAAAAAGTGAAGTTTTCTAAAATGTGCGTTACTTCCCAGCGTTGGGGCGCCCGGAATTCACTCGGGTAACATTTCATAAAGTAAAATATAAAAAGACCATATGCAAATTTTCTGTACTTTTGTCGGAAAAAATACATTTATCCAGCACAATGTCGTCCCTGTTTGCGTTGGAGAAGAGCAAATAGCGAGTTTTAATCACACTTTGGCCGCTCTCGCAAGCTCTCAGTCCTTTCACTGTGGTCAAGCGACTTTGGGGCAAGCGGTTAATGAAAATACTAATCGTTAGCTTTCTTTTGGTATTAAACTTGTTTTGATTGATTGTGTAATTTTGTCGGAATAAAGGAAACAAAAAGACTCGACCAATAACTTATCAGTGTCTGAATTGACCTTTTGACCTTGAATTTCCTTGATGCAAGCGCACTAATGACGTCATCTTCGCTAAATCGGCGTCTTTTATCGTAAAATGCGACACTTTCACAAAGTTTATACATATTTTTTAAACTATTAGTAAGATTTAACATATTTTTTCTGATATCACTGAAGTTTTGGGTGTTATTTAATGAGTAATTTTAAAATAAGAGCCATTTTACTGTTTTATTTTACTGGATCATATCATTCAAGTCGCAGGGTAGAAAGATGCATTTTCCAACCGCGCCAAATTTAATTTACGTTTCGACATTCTTTTAAATGGGTTCGTGTTGTTAAGAATCCACTGCTTTCTGCTCCAACAAACGTCCACATGCGGAGTCGTTTATCAACTAAATTATTAAAATGTATGGAAGCTTCCTAGCTTCCCAGGTGTTTGTGTTTCTGTTGAAGCATTTCATTCACCTTCTATCATTCTTTGTACTCCAATTGCCAGAACGCAAATTTCATTTTGGTTTTATAGTTTCATCGGAGTCGTTTATTAACTATATGTATTCAAATTTATGAATGCTTCCTCCCCAGGTGTTTGTGGTGTTTATGCATTTCATTCACCTGTTATTATTCTTTGCACTCCAATTGTTAGAATACAAAATGCATTTTGGTTTTATAGTTTCATGCAATAAGTAAGTCAATAAAAGAGTATGTTCTGCACAATAAAAACAATGTGTGTCCCTATTGTACAATGTAATGTGTCCCCTCATTTTGTAATAGTTAATTTACCCATTCACATAATGGAACTACCTGCCCAATGAAGCCCGTGACCTGTGACCCCTGAGCACTCAACACCGTGTGGGAGTCAGTTTGTGATCAACTTCTTTTATGATACAAATACAAGCAAACGTTTCCATATGCCACATACAAAAACTCAAAAATGGTTTAATAGTCTATGTACAAGCATATATACATAATTCAAGCATGACAAATTACACTCGACGAATTTGCACTCGAATAGCCGTCCGTTCTGTTTGACCATTCTTAATGTGAATATGTATTACAAGGGCAATCGCTTATTGTGATTATTTGTTAGGCATTACCTGTAACAAGGAAGACAGAAACTTTATCATTATTGTATCCCTCAAATAATTTTGTTTCATTGATTGGTCAGGAGTTCCTCATGTGATCATTCATAATTATACTACAATAGAAATTCCTTTCTGAGGAGAGAATAGGTGCGATTTAATGTTTTAGAGTAATATTTGTTCTTTTTATTTATGTATATTATCATTAATGTTTTTTACTTCACTATTTTCCATCCGACTACCCCATGTATCATGACATAATTAAAGTTCACGCGTTCATCCAGTCGTTTCCTAGATGTTGCTTTCCCGGGGGGGGGGGGGGGTGGGGCGGGCGATAATTGTTTTTTATCGGAGGGTGGGAAAATCGGCACTTATGATTCGCCTATAAACACCTCACAAACGTTTTATTTAGTCGTTTTTTTTTAAGTACAGGGTATTTGCAGTGAGGCGAGGCACATCTTCAGTAATATTGCAGTGCACAGCCAAGTCAGCTGTAGAATCACGTCTGAGAAAATCTTTTTGATGAGGTCATACGATGTAATATGGCGAGATGAATTGCGAATTGACCGATCTCTTCGACCTTAAAAGTAACAATTTACTGGAAACGTTTAATGTGTTGTAACTTCAGACGTATACACGTACCATTGATGGTAACTTTGCCACCAATTGTAACTACCATGGAAACCTTGATTTTGATTGGCTGTTGAGCTCTGTTACCATGGTAGTTGCCATTGATGGCACTGGTTTTTCCGAAGTTCGTTTTTCCAGAGGTTCGTATTTCAGAAGGTTCATAATTCCGATTCACAAATTTCCCATGCCAAGGGGTTCAAAATTCAACAACATCTCAAATTTCCGACAATGAATTAGGGTTCATAATTCCGAAGGTTCATAATTCCGCAAATTAAAAGGTTTTCATAATTCAAAAGGTTCGTATTTCCGAAAATGAAAAAGAGTTCATAATTCCGAAAATGAAAAAGGGTTCATAATTCCGAAAATGATATAGGATTCATAATTCCAAAGGACTGGTTCGTATTTCCGAAAATGAAAAAGGTCATAATTCCGCAAATGAAAAAGGGTTTATTATTCCGAAAATGAAAAAAGGTTCGTAATTCCGAAAATATAATAGGGTTCGTAACTCCAAAAATGAAATAGGGTTCGTGATTCCGAAATTGACATAGGGTTCGTAATTCCGAAAATGGAAAAAGGTACTTAAACGAGAGGCCGAGACAGTTCATCCCGCTCTCCCCATAAGAGATCAAAAATGACTGGACAGAGAGGGACAGAAACAAGGAAAATAGTAGAAGACAGCGAAAGAATATAGGACAATATAAAGGACAAATGACAAAGAATAGGAAAGAAAGGAAGGAAGGAAGAGAGGAAATTTGAAAGAGGGGATCCGTTCGAAATCGCTGGTAGAGAGTGAAAGAAAGAAGAGGGGGAATCATGATTGATTAAAGGGAACCAAAACCTTCATACTAAGTTACTCTTATTGTAAATTTTAAAAGATTTGATTAAAATCAGTGATAATTTGAACAAAATCGGGCAAGGAATAAGGAAGTTAGAGCTTTTTGAAATGACTAGTCACTAGAGGGCGGTATTCAATTTGATGACATCATCTGTGGACAATTCTCCATGCCTTTTGTACATAAAATTTCACAATATTTCGTTTTCTTCGTATTTATTTGTGTTCTTGATCCGACTTCATAACATGTGAAGTAAAATATAATTTCGCATTCTATATCTTGCTTTCAGGGGAGTAGATTATTTCAATCACAAGAAAGAAGGAAAAACATGAAATTTGATGTACAAAAGGCATGGAGATTTGTCCACAGATGATGTGATCAAATTGAATACCGCCCTCTAGTGACTAGTCATTTCAAAAAGCTCTAACTTCCTTATTCCTTGCCCGATTTCGTTCAAATTTTCACCGATATTTTTCAAATATCTTTAACTTTACAATAAAAGTAACTTAGTATGAAGGTTTTGGTTCCCTTTAATAAGGTGATAAGGGGAGGTCATCTTAAATCTTAAGGCAAGGGACTTTCGGCTCCCCCTCGCCGATCCAAACATTGTAGGAGGAGAAATCGCAACTGATATTACACTTCTTTTCTTTTCTTCTTCCCCTTTTTTTCATACCCTTTAACTTTTTTCTATCCCTTTCCTTCCTTCTCAGTCTCTTTTCTTTTTGCTAGGGGGGGGGGGGGGGGTGGAAGGCAACATC